GATATAGATATAGATATAGATATAGATATAGATATAGATATAGATATAGATATAGATATAGATAGATATATCTTGTATTTGTGCTGATAAATAAAATAAATAAAGGGAGACTAGTATAGATCTATTTCAAGCTATTTAGCTCTCATCAGCTAGCCATACCCTTACTGGGATTCGAACCTGTATTGCATATTAGGCAGATGTGTTAACCACTAAGCCACAGAGTTCGACTCCTTATCAGCTGAGCCAGGGTGATAGGTATCTATTTAGAGTTACAATATATATAAGAGTTATATATATATATATAAATCTTGTCAGCTTCACAGACTAGATATAGAAAATTAATCAAGGGATTAAACAACTTAAACAACTGCCCCCAAATGTCTAGTAATTATACAAGCCCAGTTCATTGTAGGGCTGGGAGCATATAGACCCGTGATGGCGAATCTATGGCACGTGTGCCAGAGATGACACACAGCACCCTCTCCCTGGGCACGTGAATGTCGTCCCAGTTCAACTCTGCCGCATATGCACGGGCCTCCCACCTGGTCTTTAGGTCTCTGTCGCGAATGCGCAGGGGCATGCATGCATGTGTGGGGCGCATGCACATGTGTGTGGGTACATGAGCATGCATGGGGTGGAACATGGGGGCACATGTGTGCACCACATGCACAGGAACATGGCATATGCATGGGGGGAAATGTGCAGGGCTGCATGCGCATTGCATTTTGGGGGTTCGGGCACATGCATTTGCGCATGCATGCATGCTATGGGCACTCAGTCCGGAAAAGGTTAGCCAGCACTGATATGGACCAACTTTTCCCTGTATTGGTGAACCCTCATGTCAGCAAGCCTAAAGCTAACATTTGCTTCCTACTACAAATAAGTCCCACTTGCATGAATTAATAAAAATACTGATAATTTCTATAATACTTCTGCAGATTCATCAAAGTATGCTTCATGGTTGTTTTTTTCAGTAGAGTTACACAAGTTCTCTGAAATATAACAAATCCTTCTTAACTCACAAGTGAAGTAGAAAGTCCAGCTTGTATAATTACAAGGGTTGCTTTGGGTACATTGAGTATACATGTCTTATATTTGGTGTAGCCCAATGAAGATTTATTTTAAAAACACAGCTTCCTCTTTAGTTTGACAGTAGAGACGGCTTGGAACCCTACCCTGCGCCATATTAAATGGTAGCAGCATGGAGAAATATGAGTTGATTAAAAGGGTTCCACCACAAATCCGCGAAGCCCTTATCCGCAGAGACATAAGCGCGAAGACTAATTCGCGCCGTTCGAAGCGCTAAGGAAAAGCGCGACCCTACTGCGATGACATAATCGCGGAGGGCAAATCCGCGCATTCCCAAGCACTCAGTACCCT